AAAAAGGCTTTGCTATGATTATAATCCAGCCGACAAACGCGATTAATGGAATGGGATGTGGACCGCAGACTCCATTGTGGAATACGCTCAAGTAAAATGAGTGCTTCTTCTTACTGACCCAAAGAGGCAGAGTTTATTAATATTGACTCCATTCTCATCTACTCAGAAATGGCCTCCGCCTTTAAGACCCTCGCCGCTCTCTTCCATGTTTTCCCACTAATAATCCTTGCTGGTTTCGCAAAGGAGATGAAGCACCACCAAGCAGACAACGGCAAGATGAAGACGACCCGCCTGCATTTCTACTTCCACGACATCGTCAATGGAAAACACCCGACGGCCATTACGGTTGCCGGCCGGAGAAACGAGTTTGGCAGCACGGCGGTGGTCGACGACCCCCTGACAGAGGGGACGAGTCCCGAGTCGAGGGTGATTGGGAGAGCTCAGGGGTTGTACTCCATGTCCTCCAGGGACCTCTCTTCCCTGCTCATGGTCATGAATTTCGAGTTCACAAAGGGCAAGTACAACGGGAGCTCCCTCAGTGTTCTCGGGAGGAACCCATTTCTCGAGGCCATGAGGGAGTTGCCGGTTGTAGGGGGGAGCGGGATTTTCAGGTTCGCGCGGGGCTATGCACTTGCAAAAACTCAACGGTTCAATTTGAACACAGGGAATGCTGTGGTGGAGTACAACGTCTATGTCATGCATCCCTAAAAATTTAACCTTAGTGATCTCAGTGCCCTAGGCATTTACTTGAATTATATATATGAAATAAATTAATGTGGCATCTCATGAAAGCATCTTATTTTATTGTCGCATGTTCTCTGGCAAAATTTTATTTTTGGTCCATTATATTAGCTATTTTTTCCATAAATGGTCCACTAATTTGACGGATATCAAACTTAATACAATAAATTGTAAAATTCATCATTAGCTTTAGGTAGCACCAAAAAAGTGATACATAAAAGCTATAAAATGTTATTATAGATCATGGGTAACAGAATTATGGCGCTGCAGTTGCTCGTGCTAGCTAAAGTCAAAGGTAATACTTCTGATAACTTTTGGTTACACTTATATTATGTGTTGCATTATGTAAAATATTGTAACACTTTAAGATAACATAAGCTAAATGTTGCCTATAACATTTAGGTAACACTTTTTTTTTAAAAAAAAATGCAACACTCTCTTTGCAACATCTCTAATTCAAATTTAACACTTTATTTCATAGTTGTATCACTATAGTTTTTATTTTGTATTACTTTTCAAGTAGTAATGTAACACTTTTATTGATCAATCATATTTATTTATTATTTATTATTATTATTTCTAAAGCAATTTGAATATTTATTTATTATTTATTATAATTATTTCTAAAGCAATTTTGAATGTTCACTACCACTTTAAATTATTTATAATAGAACAAATAATGACAAATAAACAAAAATATAAATTTGATTTATTAAATCTGTATGGCAATTTACATGCACTTACAAGAATACTATATACAATCAAAATCTAAAACAAGAACATGAACACACATATAATGGTTAATGGAATTATAATAAGTCGAGATGGTTTCATAATAATTATCTTCACTGTCGCCCAAAGCTTATACTTCAATGCTCTCACCAATGTCTGAGTTAAGAAACAAATGGATTTGAAGTTGCTCCATCGTCTACTTTGTCTGCAACTTGCAACTATATTTTACTGTTGTTGAATAAGAATTTCTTAAATTGAGTAATAGCTAGTATTAACGAAAACATGTAAATGAACGCTAAATGAAATAATGTATGTAACTAAAATTTAACTAAGATTTCTCATCATAAAATATACATATGAGGGCATAGATATAACTATTTTACAATTATACAATTTTATTCGAACTAATCAAATAAATCTTGGAATTGAGCAAGTGATAAAAGTTATTAGTCAAAATATCTTTACTTATTTTGCTTGTCAAAACTTATAACTTGTCAAAAACTCATAACAAAAAATCATTCAACTTCTACCAAGAGCATTTCAAGGATCTTGCCTAGTCCCACCAAATACAATTTTATCCATATAAATCAAGGTAGTCTAGAAAATTAAAACAAATATGAATATAATAATTACCAGTCAAATATATTTCCTTATTTCACTTTTCTACAAAGTCGTGGTCAAATCATTAAATTTCTACCAAGAGCATATCATGGATCAATCCTCGTCCTAAGAAATACAATTATGTTCACATAAATCAAACTACTCTACAAAGTACAATAGAATATCAAAGTTAAAGTTAGGAGTCAAAATATCTTTACTTATTTCACTTCTACCAAGAGCATAGCAAAGATCTTGCCTCGTCCCAACAAATATTGTTTTTGGTTTTGAAAGTAACACACATACAAGCAGTCATGTCTAAGCCAGGTCTAACAATTAATACACATTCTCATTTTTCATGCTAGCACAATCATATCCATCGAAAATTCAATAGCCTTCAGAAAATAGAAATTAATCTTTGGCCAGAATTCATTCTAGGTTACATCTTTAACATTTTAGCTCATTGAAGTTCAATTTCAGCAAGCAAGAAAATATTAAGCCAAAAACTTCAAATCACTTCCTAAATCATCTAACACATTTGATGGTAAGAAAAAAATTAACAAAATTGGGATATTATGATCATGAAAATCATAGCTATTCACCACACAACACTATCTAACACAAAGAGATAAAATACTCCCAAAGGGTGGTAATCAAGGCCCCAATACCTGGGGTCATTAGTCGTGCTGTTACATTTGAGAGGACGTCCAATGTTCCTGCTACCAGTGACCATGACAACATCGCCAATGTCAAACTTGATGAAGTTGACAATCTTGTTGCTCCCCAGGTCGTGCTTCATGGTGTTGTTGGCCTTGATGAGCAGGTCCGGGTAGCGGATAGTCCACATCATTAGTGTTGAGGTAGGGAATGCATTTTTCTCCAACCTTGATATAGCCATATTGTCGTATAACGGTTTATATGATCAACAGTTCGGAAATAACCGAGTCGACTTAGCCAAAGTCGAGTCTCTCCGCAGACTCCCTATAATATCTCTGGTCAGAGGTCCAGGCATTCCTCGGTCGACTTCCACGTGTCGACTAGAATAAGTCGATTTCCTTGGAAAGAAGGATAAGCGCATCAGGGTCTACCGACGACTGAATGTGACCCCGTCGACTCGACTTGTTATCCCGAGTCGACTGAGGAAGTCTCGAGCCTCATAGATCCCCGACGATTCGATACACTTTGATATATCATATGAAAGCTGTTAAGGATATGAGGGAATCCAAATGCTGACTAGGAGAGGGACGAAATGCGAACCGACCAGGGTATTTTGGACATTTCCAGTAAGTCGGCCAGAGCATCTTGGGAACTTCAGGTAAATATCTTGCTCCTATATAAAGGAGTTGAGGTAACCCCAAAACCCTAACTCCCATTCATTCCATACTCTCCTCCATTACTGCTGCTGCTCTCTCAGAGCAGCTCCCTTCATCTCTCTCACATATACTGACTTGAGCGTCGGAGGCTCTACGCCGGAAACCCCTCCGGCATTGAGTTCTTGCAGGTTTTCTTGCGGTCCAGTAGCGGTTTGAAGGTGACGACGACATATCTAAGCCATTCTCATCGGTTCGTCCTAGATCCGGGCCTATTTTTACCGGTTCACTCCAGATCTGGGAAGAGACCCATCATTTTGGCGCCGTCTGTGGGAAGTTCTTGAAGGAATTAAGAGCTTTACACCTAGCTTTCATCTGTCTCGGATGGCTGAGAAGGAAGGATTGCAGAAGAATTTGAATGAGAATTTCAGGGCAACGTGGACTGACAAGCGGCCTCCGCCGATTCCCAACCCCAGGCCACCGCTCCAAGTGTTTGGTTTCCCACCGTTCGGAACACACGCGCCGTCAGGAGTGCGTATGGGGGAGGAGACACCTATCACCCCGCCTGGAGTCAAGATCCCAGTGCTCACGCAAGGGGAGGCCAGTTACGTAAAAGACACGAGCGGAGAAGTTGACGGTCATGCATCTACCGAAGCATCTTTGAGATCGGGGAGGCAGCCCGGGCGACTTGAACAGGAAACAGGGGGGCCACCCCAAATCGAAGAGCAAACACTAACCATGACGAGGAGCGAGATGCAGAGGATGATTGCAGAGGGTTGAGCAGCCTAGGGTCGAGCAGCCTCGAATCGAACAGCTTCCCCCGGAGCATGAACAACAAGCTCAATCCCATGAAAGACAGAGTATGAGGGCGGACGAAGAGGTGTCTTCTGTCAGAACTGTCAATCCACAAGCAAGGAACGACACGCTAAAGCAACTGCTGGCTCAGGTGCGAGATCTGCAGGTCCGAGTCGAGGGGAGAAAAACGGGGAGCTCGAGAGGGAATCCCTTCTCACAAAAAATTCTAGACGCTGACTTACCTCAGGGATTCAGGCAGCTTAACATCTGGTACGATGGGTCGACTGATCCCTCTCGACATCTAAGGAGTTTTGAAAACATGGCAGTACTACACCGCTATAATGACCCCGTTCAATGTCGAGCGTTCTTGACGACTCTACGGGGACCTGCGCAAGATTGGTTCCATCAGTTACCTCCAGGAGCCGTCAGGGACTTTGATGGATTCAGCTCGAGTTTCTTGAATTAATTTGCAATCGTGAAGGCCCAGAAAAAAATCTTATCTTACTCTGATAGGTATGCAACAGAAGGAGAGAGAGTCGTTGCGAGATTATGTGGCGAGGTACACGCGAGCGTATGTCCATGTGCCTTCGGCCACTGAGGAAATTAAATCGGGTGGACTCACCCGGGGATTGCTCCCAGGACTGTGCAGAAACTCTTTGGCAAAGCGACCTGGGAGGACCTTCGACGAGGTCCTAGAGAGGTGCGCCAAATATATGAATGTGGAGGAAGCAGAAGCTGATTTCTTGCAGGCGGCAAAGGAAAAAACCCTCCCCGACCCCCGGGAAGAGAAGAAAAATAAGAAGCCGAGTTCGACGTTAGAAAAGAAAGGATCCCCGAGAATAGAGAAAGAGGGACGGTCGAGAGGGTGGAGGCCAACTCAGTACACCCCCTTGTCGATCCCAAATGCAAGAAAATTGGAGGTAATGGAGAAGGAGATCCGTGACGATGTCGTCAGATGGCCGCGGACGAGAAAGGATGGACCAACAAAGCCCAAAAGCAATCTGTATTGTCAGTTCCACAAGGATTATGGGCACAATACTGACGATTATAGGCACCTCAAGGATGAGATCAAGAGGCTAATTAAAACCAGTTATCTGAAGGAGTTCATTTATAAGGATCGAGAAAGAACCAGTCGACGCCGAGAAAGAAGCAAGAGCCCTCGCAAGAGGGAAAGGACTCCCAACAAGGAGGAGCTCCCTCAGAAGAGAGGAGTAATTCATATGATATTCGGAGGACCAACTGACGGAGATTCAAATCGGGCAAGAAAAGCATACGTTCGAGGGCACTATGGAAAAGCCGAGGTGTAGTAAGGTGAGGAGAACGGCCCGGTGATGAATTTCGGGCCAGCAGATATAGGCGAAATCGAAAGGCCACATAATGATGCTCTAATGATAACGACCCAAGTGTCGGGTTACGAGGTGCAAAGGGTGTTCGTCGACACCGGGAGCTCGGTGAACGTGATCTTTTATAGTTGCCTCAAGAGGATGGAGCTAGACCTTGAGTTAATGCCGTTGCATACATCACTTTTTGGGT